GGGGGGGGGGCGCTCTGGACTATGCTACGACTTTCCCTTAAAAATTCAATGTCTTCTTAAAACTTTGGTAAGTCCGTATTTATTTAAATAAAAACTGTTTAATTAGATATAAGATCATTAAGAAAGTCCTAAATATTACTAACTAACTTTTTCATTCAATCAAACAAACTGGACGAGGAGACTTTGGAGAGCCTGGAATTGTTTGTTGATGAGTGTTTTACAGCTTAGTCATGGGTAAAACTAAAGATTCATCCGGTACTGCTAGTGATTCAGCTAACATCCCCACTGCTAAGCTGCACCGACAGGGAAGCTCAGACAGCGTTACGGCACCGTCTCCTGATAATACAGGTTTAAAGGAGATATTGGAGTCAATTGACCAGAAGCTAACTAGCTTGGATGCCAGGACTAACGTTGGTAGAGATGCTGCATAAAGAGTTTCAAGGCCTCAGGGAGTCTTTAGAATTCAGCCAACAACAGGTAGCATTACTTGCTAGTGAAAATCAGGAGCTTAGAGGCCGTCGGGTGTTGACCAGGACTATGTGGGGGTTCGGGGTCTGGGGGATTGCCATGTGCGGTGCTGGCGCTGTGCTCTCCCTGGGGTTGTTTGGACCCCCTGAGCTTGGCTCTTGGGTGCCATGGTTGGCCCGCTGGCCGGGGTGGCTGCCGGGGCCTGGCGGGCGGTCGGCTGGGGGCGTGTGCTTGGTTGTTGGCGGTGTGTGGGGGTGGTCGGTGGCGTGACCTCTTCGTGCCGGGGGGTGTCCTGTCGGCTGGGCGTGGCCTGGGCCGGGTCTGGGATATTGGCTCCTCTCCGTTCGAGAATGAATGGGTCTACCTCCTGGGTTTGGGCATGGGCTGCCCCCGTAGAGGGCGGGTACATGTCTTGGACCTGGGGGGTATAGAGTGCGTATCGGGAATAAGAATGAAATGTATCGTTATTGTATGTCTTTGAGTGAGTGAGTGTGAGAATGAGGCTGGGACTGTGTGATTGTGTCTGTGTATGAATGGGTATTTGTTAGGCCGAGACTCGGATTGCCCCCTCTTTGATACAACTGGGGGGTGCTTGGCATCACGCCCCTATCGCGCGGCCCCCTGGTGGGGTGTGCCCTTGCCTGCCGGCGCGCTTGGGGCCCTTGGTGTCGGGGGCTGGGCGCTTGGGCATGTGTCGGCTCGGCCTGGTGTCTGCCTGGTGGGGCTCGGGTCCTCTGGCCCTGTCAGGCCTTGGCCTGGGTGGTGTGAGTCCTCGGTGCCCGGGCCTGGGTGCCCGGGCCTGGACTTGCATCGGTGCGGCGGGTACCGAGTTTGTCGCTGTTGGCCCCGGGGGGTCACTGTATGTGGTTGCTGGTGGGGATCTTCCGGTTCTCCCCTGTGGTCCGATCTGGGGGGTGGGTGAGTGGTTCGTCCTGTGTGGGTGGCCTTGGGGGCTCCGCGGTCGGGGTCCCTCCTGGGGTCTTGGGCTCTGGTCCCCCCTTTTTCGTCCGCCTCTGGTCTTGGGGATCGGGTCTCTGCTGCTTCACAGTTACTATTAAATGTTCTATTAGAGAAGCCTTATACACTTATGCATGCTCACAAACACACACAAATAGATGCAGGGATGCTTATGTAGGCTTTATATGTAGATATATAGATTTGTATATGAATGTATATTCATGTATGTATGTATATAGGCGTTAGTATGGGTATATATATTTATGGAAACTTACTGCAAAGCCATGAATATTTTAAGTTTAAAAAAAGTTAAATCTGGTCCTCTGGACATTCAAAAAAAACAAACAAAGCAAAACAACAAAAAAATGTAGAAACGTTTCGTCTCTCATCCGAGAGACTTCCTCAGTCTGAGGTGCTGTATTCAGTTCAGTCTCTTAAATAGCACCTTCTCAGAGTGGATCAACCAGTTTTGCTGCTGACAACCAAAACCAGCTGATCACATGCTCAAGAAGGACCATCAGCCTAACAATGGATCATTAGCACACTGATGGCTGTTTACTATTCACAGAGGGCTGAGTGATACTAACAATCACAGCATTGTAAGAGGGGGACAGTTGAACACGTAGGCCTCCACCCCTGTTTAACGATGGACCGTTTCTTTTCACAAAGATGGCCTCCTTTACTCCTCTCTCAAACCATTGTTCCTTTCTATCCAGGATGTGCACATCTTCATCCCTGAAAGAGTGACCGCTGGCCTGGAGATGAGTGTAGACCGCAGAGTCCTGGCCTGATGATGTTGATCTTCTGTGCTGGGCCATCCTTTTGGCCAGTGGCTGTTTTGTTTCCCCAATGTAAGACTGATCACAGCCCTCCTGACACTGAACAGCATACACAACATTACTCTGTTTGTGCCGGGGGACTGGATCTTTGGGATGAACCAGTCTTTGCCGTAATGTATTTTGGGGTTTAAAAGCCACTGTGACGTTATGTTTAGAAAATAAACGTCTCAGTTTCTCTGATACGCCCTCAACATATGGAATGACCACTGGTCTGGGTTCCTCCTTTTCACCTGTTGGCTGACTGGAGTCCTGTTTAGGTTTCTTCTCTGCTTTCAGGAAGGCCCAGTTAGGATATCCACATTGCTCTAGAGCCTGTCTTGTGTGGGATTTCTCCTTCTGCCTGGCTCCTGAGCTAGTGGGGACGCTGTCTGCTCTGTGATACAGAGTCCTGATGACTCCTAACTTGTGCTCCAAAGGGTGATGGGAGTCAAACTGCAAATACTGGTCTGTGTGGGTGGGTTTGCGGTACACCTCAGTTTGCAAATGTCCTCTATCAGAGACTGAGACCTCACAGTCCAAGAAAGCCAACTTGCCATTTTTTTCATCTTCTCGTGTGAACTTGATGTATTTATCCACAGAGCTGATGTGGTCAGTAAAATGTTGGACTTCCTGAGATTTAATTTTAACCCAGGTGTCGTCAACATACCTGAACCAATGACTTGGTGGTGTCCCTGAAAAGGACGTCAAGGCTCTCTTTTCTACCTCCTCCATGTACAGGTTGGCAACAATAGGAGAAACTGGAGACCCCATAGCACACCCATGTTTCTGCCTATAATATTGCTCCCCATATGTGAAGTAGGTTGACTGCAGGCACAGTTTCAAGAGTTGACACAGTTGTTTTGTGGAAAGCGTGGTCCTGCTGCTCAGAGTGGTGTCTGATTTTAATTTTAAACTGATCACCTCTACTGCATCATCAACAGGAATGCACGTAAAGAGTGATGTGACATCAAGAGACCAGTGTTTCATCAGTCTCCATGATGACATCCCTCACTTTATCCACAAAGTCCATGGTGTTCTGTATGTGGTGTTCTGAGCTGCCAACTAAAGGGATGAGTACAGACGCCAGACATTTGGAAACATTGTAAGTGACAGAGTTAATCATGCTAACGATTGGTCTTAAAGGTACACCTTGTTTGTGGATTTTAGGTAAACCATATAGACTAGGTGTGGCCTCCCCTGGGTACAGTCTGTGGTACAGAAAACGGTCAATAGCCTTGTCTTGCTCCAAAATTTTCAGGCAATCTATCAATTTCTTCTTGTAACCACTTCCTGGATCTCTTTTCAGAGGTTCATAAGTGTTTAAGTCACTAAGGAGTGCCATAACTTTCTCATGATAGTCTTTCTGGTTCAAAATCACTGTGCACCTTCCTTTGTCTGCTGGGAGAATGATGATGTTTTTGTCCTTGCTAAGAGTGGTGAGTGCGTCCCTCTCCTCTCTACTGATGTTGGAAGGTAGTGGTTTGGCATTGCTGAGGCAGGCTGAAACTTTGATTCTGAGCTGTTCTGCTTCAGCCTCTTTAATTTTGTTGTTGCGGATGGCTGACTCAGTAGCTGTGATCATCTCCACCTGAGGAATTCTACTTGGTGCAACCACAAAGTTCAGTCCCCTGGCAAGAATCTCTGTCTCCAGCTGGGTGAGCTGTCTGTCAGATAAATTCTTCACCCACTTTTCTGTCTCCCTGACATGTAATTGACTACTGGAGTGTTGTCCTACACTTAATGTGTTGTTATTGGAATAGTGATGGTGTTGATGAGTTATTAGTAAGTTAAACTTGTTTTGTTGTTTAGTCTTGGACTTGACATGCTGTGCTAAATAAGCGTGCCTGATCTGTACAGTCCAACACTTGCTGAAGTGTGGTCTGATCTAGACACATACATGTAGTTAGTTTCTGTTTAATGTGCTCTTCTTTGGCCTTCAAGGCCTCAATAGTAAAATTGGTCTGTCTCACCAGAAAAGGCTTAAAGTGCATCAATTTGCCTGAAATAATAAAAAATATATATCCTTATTTAAACTCTAAACATTTTTGACCATATGATACTGAAAAATCAAATTAAATACAATCAATAAATGATAATAAATTCAAAATTATCTGCAAAATTTTAACTCAGGAGTGTTATACACAACACTTTGACGTACAAAACAAAAATGAAAAAAACATTTTGTGCTAATTTTTTTGTAAATCAAAATGAGGAAGTCAGGATTAATGGTTACAATGAGTACATTTTGCAGTGCACAGCTTTTTGAAGCACAGTTTGAAACATGATCCTGTAACTCTCAGCTCCTGCTCAATGTTTAGCTGGGACCTGGGGGGGGCGGTCCAGGAGGACGCGCTCACAAGAGAAGAACCTGACAAGTTGTTTAATGACATAAAATATATTTTGTTTGCAAAGAATAGAGTCCTAACATTTATTAAACATTACTTCTGTATTAAAAAAAACCCCATCAAAATTGTACTTTGACAAACTAAAAAACAAAAAAAAATGTTAAAGCGAAAGACGAAGAGGGACAGGTAACACTCTTGCTTTGAATTTATTCTCTGTTACATGTGTGCTGTGGGTGACAAGCGTCACCAGCTGAGGAGGTGTCAGAGTTATTTATTTCTCAGCAGCAGAGGGAAGCGACACGGTTCAAGCATGGCTCCCCAAACAACAAGACAGCCATATTTGTTCATAACTTTATTATTACTAAACCTAAGAGTTGCCGGATTTTAGCAAACAATTGCCGAACGCACACTGACAAAATGAGAATGATGCCAAAAAAAAAAAACTACTTCCTGCCGCAAAATGTTCCCCGGGGTCACATGCGCCCCCCCGGCATTGCTCTGGGCCCCCCCAGGGGGGCACACCCCTAAGTTACTACCTTGTAAACCCAGTAAGCATTTGTAAGACTATTTCTTTAGCATATAACATTGTACTTTATCACTGCTTTATAAGTATCTACAACTAATAATATATCCTAAAAAAATTAGGTTTACAAATGCTTATTGTGCTCACAAGGTAGTAACTTAGTGTGAAATGTTTAATATAACAACTCTACATGAAATATAGAGGTAAATGGTAAATGGACTGTACTGTACCTTTCTATCTTATTTCAAGATACTCAAAGCGCTTTACACTACAATCTGTGCCCTCATTTACCCATTCATACAGCACTCTACTAGATCTCTACAAAGCTAATTGAACAAATCATTCCAATGAGACTAATCAGTGCTTTAGATCACATTCATACACTGATGGGACACGCATCAGAGGCTATGAGGGGTTCAGTGTCTTGCCCAGGGACACTTCGGCATGTGACTGCTGGTGGATTAGAACCCCCAACTCTCGCATTGGAGGACAACTGCTCTAACCACTCAGCCACAGCCGCACCAAAGTCCATGCTCAATAATTCAGGTATAAAATCCAACAATGTTCAGTCAGGCCATCTGGACCGTTTCTTTTTTGGTGCCGAGACGTTTTGCCTTCCATCCAGAAGGCTTCTTCAGTCTGAGGAAACAGCAAACAAAACTGCTTCACCCCCAATGGCTTAAGCCTTACTCCAAAGTGGGAAAAAAACAGTTATGTTGGTGCTAAGATGGTCTCTGGGGCACGCCCTCTCCCTCATCGACAGTCATGTAAACTGGTTCAAAACACCAAAGTCCATGCTCTAAAATCCAGGTATAAAATCCAACAATGTTCAGTCAGGTCATCTGGGTGACCTGGATGATATAGGTGGCAGATTTATTTCACTATTTGGCAAGAAACTGGTCGGTTTTGTCTCTCTGTCACCCTTAATCAATGCATAATAAACAATTATTAATGATTTATAAAGTGTTTATAAAAGAATTAACATATCTATAAACTATTTATTAGCATCTGTAAGGGAAGCCTTATTGTCAAATGGTATCCTTAAGCAATTAGTGAGGGATAAAAAAGATTTTTTATCTTCATCTGTTTTGTGCTTCACACAGACGTGGTTGTGTGAAACAGAGTCAGACTCTGTGGTGCAAAAGTCTTGTAAATGCAAATCAACTTGGCAATGAAAGGTTCTGATGCTTTTTTTGACTACATCCAAAATTGTGTTTTATTTACATTTTGCTGGCACAATTTTGGGAATCTACTCTATATCTCTACATCCCTCTTTAGAAAGCCTTGAAACAAAATTTGCCACAAAGGCAGCTAGCCAGTTAAAAAACGTGATCACGATAAGCAATATAACTCAGAGAATTATCTATTATAAAACTATTATAATCAAATAAATTTTCGCTATATAATGTGATGACATGAATGGAAATTTTGCATACAAACCACTTGGACTGCAGTATTGCAACATAAAACTTAAGGTGGGTGATAGTGCAATGTAATTTGTTTGGCTGTTGGTCAAAAAAAATCTCACGAACCAATAAAACTTGCAACAAACTTAGCAGAAATAGCTACAACACAGCTAGTTTTACAGATAGTGAGCTAAAACTTGCTGTGGTAGAATGGGAGTCATCCCTATCATACTATGAGGGACTACATACTGTGGGACATCTTAAAGCTTTGACATGGAAGGCAACACGTATTTTACTCCTTCATTGAATGCCGTTTTCACTTTTAGTCACTTACCTTTCACCGACAGATGAACGGCGCTAAGAGTGTTTCCAAGAGCGTTTGATGCAGCACACACGTACAGCCCCGTGTCCTGTACCTTAGAGTACAAAACTTTTAAAGTGTAGTAACCTTCTCTGTCTTCAAATATCAGATGGCGTCTGTCGGGCTCTAGGAAAACCCCATCTTTCTTCCAGATGATCTCGGGTTTTGGCTTACCCGTCACAAAGCAACGAAACTTTGCGTGCTTCCCCTCCGTTACTGCAAACTTTTTGACTTTGGACGCATTGACAGGCTGCTCCTCTGTAAGCCTCGACAAGCTGAGCCTTCCACCTCTGTGCTTCGGTGACCTCTGGCTGCTGTTGTGACTGTTTGATGACATTTTACTCTCTTCTCGTTCTGGAATCGGCTCAACAAGAAGGATAGCTCCTGCCAAGGCCTCACCATGGCAGTTCACGGCCTTGCAGGTGTAGACGCCTTTGTCTGACATGCGCGTCCTGTAAAGCTTGAGCTGAAACCATCCTCCATCTTGACTGCTCACACTGAAGTGGGAATTCTCAAAGATATCATTCAGCTTCTTACCGTCTTTCGCCCAAGTCACCTCGTGCAAAGGCGTGCCCCAGATTTTGCATGAGAAAGCTGCATCCTCTCCTCGATCCACTCGCAGTGACAGGGGCTTGATGAGGAATCGAGGTTTATCATTGGCTGTTAAATCAACTTCCTCTAGCTTTGCATTTAGCTTACTGTTCCACCTCTGCTCCTTGTTTATTTTCTCCTCGTTCACACCATTTACTACAGCACTGTAACCATTTAGATATCCACCAATTTCTTCATTTACTTTCTTTGACTGCTTTTCAACATTTCCACCTGCTTGCATCACCTCCTGATTTTGTTCAAGGAGCTCTTCTTCCACTTTGAGCGAGGCTGCTGCATAGGTCTCACCTACGCTATTTCTAGCCTTGCAGATGTACTGACCAGCATCTTGCTGGGTCACTCCCATAATAGTTAGCAAGTACAACTTTCCTTCCTCTGCCAGCTTATATCGTCCTTCAGACAAAATTTGGACATTTTTACGTTCCCAGATTACATCCGGACGAGGATCTCCACCAATTTGGCATCTTAGTGTTGCATCCGTTCCACACTGTGCCACAACAGTGCGTGGGTAGCCCAAAACACGAGGCGCACCACCCAGAATATCCATGGCAACCTTTGGTCTTAATGAATAAAGGAGTGTCTTTTGTTTGGTTTTGTCTCAACGTTAGCTTGCAATGATCTTTGGTGTAGACTGCAGATTGTGGAGTCTGGACTCTTTGTTGACAATCTAAAGATCAGGAAAAATTATAGTAAATACGTTTATAGGAAAATTATGTTCTTACATTGCCAGGATAGCATTCTGTAAACTTGCAGTCAGAAATTCACATAATTCTTTTCAGAAGTGCTTTACTATCGCCAGGAAACAAATTACAGTATTTTCCGCCGTACATGTCGCTCTGCCCTATAAGTCGCATCAGTCCATATTTGTCTAATAAAGTGGAAAAATCCATAAATATGACGCTTTGCTGTATATGTCGCATCTATTATGCGTCTTCGCTGACGCGTCGCGTTTGTTTCGCGTCATTGCTGACAACCCAGAAATGTGGGTCAAACCTGGAAATGTGTGCCGGTGTTGTGCCAAAAATCGATGGGCTGCCAAATGGCGGCCACAGGAGTGTGCACGGGAGGACTTTAACAATAATTTAACAAGATTAACACTTAAAAACAATTATTTGTTTCCTCAAAATTATAGTAAATGTGTGTCTCAGTCTAACGTTTGCTTAATAAATACACTTTGACGGTCAAATCAGCTGTATTTCAAAAGTATTTGCTGCCTCAGTGCTCCCAGAAGCACGCAGAGGGAGGGAAAAAAAGGAAGGTGGAACGCTGTGTGTTTCTTCAAAATTTAACAAGAAAAGCACCTAAACAATTATTTGTCCGCTCGAAATTATAGCAAAGGTGTCTCAGTTTAACTTTTACTTAATAAATGCACTTCAATTTATCAAATTAGCTGCATTTCGCTGGGGCGGTGCAGCAAAATGAAGCTGGTTTGACGGTTGTGCTAAGCAGCGAGCAAAACGAAGGTGGGAGGCTGTGGCAAGCTGATTGTGTCAATAATAGCTGGTGCAGATTCTCAGTCATCCAGGACATGGTAAATTCAAAAAGTTCAATACAAAAATAATAAAGTATAATAAATTAAGTCCAGTTGTTTTTGGCTTGAACTTTTTTTAATTTGTCATAATAGCCACTTTTACCTATTACATGATGCAACAGCATGCCTTACTGTTACTACTACTCTGCTTCCATCTAGTGGCTGAAAATGGCAGTGTTAAATTTTTTCAGTCAGAATGAATGAAAACGGTCATATCTTAGCCAAAAATTGTTTTATCAGTATGGGGAAAAAAATACATAAATATGTCGCTTTTGCATATAAGTCACAGGGCATGCAAATTATGAAAAAAACAAACAACAAAAAACGCGACTTATACAGCGAAAAATACGGTACTCAAAATTGACATAAAAGCATAGTAAAGTGTTACAAATAAACACAAAGTTAGCACGTTGAGATAGCATAGTGTTTTGAAATTTAGCCAAATGGATTTTCAGCAAACACACAGCAACCATGGTTGTCTTATAACTGACACTGTAACTCACTGAAGAGGGTATTTTTAAAGTAGCCTGACGCTGGACACCAGAGCACAAGAATAATTGTGCAAAACTATGCGGTTTCTAAAATTTACAAAAAAAAACAAAAAAAAAAAACTGATTTGTTTCTTAAACTGTAAAAGAACATTGATAAGTCAAACTTACCTTCTCTGAAACTCACTTTCCCTAAAGCGTTACTAAGAATCTGGCTCAAAATTGATGTCCTTCAAGCGATCACATGTATTAGTTGCTTCAGTTGACGTTGAGCTCCTCTGAAATGCTCGACATGTAAAATTGGAGATTGGTTGCTTTGTACATTTAAGTTCCTTGTTTTCTTAGTTTGTGGATTACAGATTGTGGTTCTTATTCAGCATACCTTTGGTTCACTCGTGCTTCTTCATAAAAAGAGAAAAAACAATATCCCCTGTACATAGTTAGTTAGTCACAGTCACAGGTGTCATTTCTTGATCGCGTTCGTCCTTTCTGGCCATGCGGTGCATGTGTCAGCTCTGATTCTGTCATTGTCCAGCAGCTAAAGAGTAACAGGAAAGGGGTGAGGGGTGTGTAAATAGATGCTTTAGCAGCTGCTGCAACTGCAAGCCGCCCCCTAAAAATACCACCAGCTTTCATGACGCAGGGCCAGATAAAGTTCCCTATTCACAGACTATGACTCACTAAAGATAGCAGGGGTCTGTACTGGATCACTCGGCTCTAAATACCTCAGAAGTAAAGGACATCCCACCTGCTGGATTTCCTTGTATCACAAATTGCACTAAAGTATAAACAAGGTCAAATTTTTTATCACATTAGGACATGATTAATATTAAACAGTTAACATGGGTGTCAGTTTTGGTATATAATGACTGAGAACATTCAAACGAAAGACAAAATATCTCTGCCTTTCAAAGTTGTGTGCTTTAAATTCTAGAAGTTCAGATTCTCACGATGGAAGACTATTTACACAAATCAAGGCTTTTTTTAGGCATTCCACACATCCAAATATGGGGGGAGTGGTGGCGCAGAGGTTGGAGAAGGTGAGCCTCTGATTGGAAGATCTTTGCTTCAACTCCCTGAACCAACATCAAAATATGGGTGGGAAAGGCAAAGGGAAGTCTGCGATTGTCAGCATTGTATGTTCCCATACATTGGCGAAATTACTTCTCTGCGTTAACCCATCACACCTGGATACACCCAGGTAGAGCAGTGGGCAGCTATGCAAGTGCCCGGGGAGCAATTGGTGAGTAAGTGTCTTGTTCAGAGACACCACGACATGTGGGAATAGTTGGGAGTCGAACCGCGATTTTCTGGTCCCAAGTCGGCTGACCTACCTCTACCTACCTTGGGGCGGTTGTGGCCGAGTGGTTAGAGCAGTCGTCCTCCAATGCGAGAGTTGGGTGTTTGAATCCACCAGCAGTCACATGCTGAAGTGTCCCTGGGCAAGACACTGAACCCCTCATAGCATCTGATGTGTGTCCCATCAGTGTGTGCATGTGATCTAAAGCACTGATTAGTCTCATTAGAATGATTTGTTCAATTAGCTTTGTATAGATCTAGTAGAGTGCTGTATGAATGGGTAAATGAGGGCACAGATTGTAGTATAAAGTGCTTTGAGTATCTTGAAATAAGATAGAAAGGCGCTATATAAGTACAGTCCATTTACCATTTACCCCATCTCGGCCCGGTGAAAACACCCATACCTGCCTCCACTCTCGTTTGCCCCTCTCTGGGCCCTTGAGCAAGGCCCTTAACCCCCATCTGCTCCCCCTTGGCACCTTAGATAGCAGCTCTCTGCTCCACAAAGAAGGCTGTGGTAGATCGGTGGTTGTGTCAGGGAGGGCATCCGGCGTAAAAACAATTGCCAAGTCTTTGTGTGAGTTGGTTCACTGTGGCGACCCCTGAAGAAGGGAGCAGCCAAAAGAAGAAAAAAAACAATAGTCAAAATACAATTTTTAATATTACAGAGATTCTGAGAATTTTTATACAAAGAAAAAAACAAACCCTATTTTTTGTGACCGGGTTTTCAGCCTAATGTGTTAAGAACTAGATTAAAATTCACCACACAGCATTTTTAATCTTTGATACAAAACAGGAGGTGGCACGGTGGTGCAGTTGGTAGAGCTGCTGCCTCTCAGCAAGCAGTTTGCCCTGTTCAAATCCCAGTTCGGGGACCTTTCTGGGTGGAGTTTACGCATTCTCTCTGTGCATGCATGGGTTTTCTCTGGGTACTCCAGTCAAAAACATGCATGTTAGTCTGATTGGTAAGTCTAAATTATTTCTAGGTGTGAGTGAGAGAGTGAATGGTTGTTTTTCTCGTTTGTCTCTATGTGGCCCTGTGATGGACTTGCGACTAGGGATGCACCGTTCTACCTTTTTAAATTCCGATCCAATCCTGATACCTAGAACTGAGTATCGGCCGATACCGATCCAGTTCCAATATCATCAATCAATCAATCAACTTTATTTATATAGCACATTTTAAAAACCACAAGTGTAGCCAAAGTGCTGCACAATAAAACAATAAAAACATACAAAGCATACACAAAGAAACATAAAAACCATTCACATACCAGTTTCACAGCAGGTGTATTAAAAAGCCATAAAAGATAACATCACGTGTTAAAAGCCAAAGAATAAAAGTGTGTCTTTAAAAGAGATTTAAAAACAGGAAGAGAGGAGGCCTGTCTGACACTCAAGGGTAAAGTGTTCCACAACCTGGAAGCAACAACAGCAAACGCTCTGTCACCTCTGAGCTTCAGCCTAGTTTTAGGGACTGTCAGCAGCAGCTGATCAGCTGATCGTAGGGATCGGGGTGGACAGTAAGGCTGAAGCAGCTCAGACAGATATGGTGGGGCAAGGTTGTTCAGACATTTAAAAACAAACAGCAAAAGCTTAAAATTAATTCTGTAGTGCACAGGGAGCCAATGAAGGGACGCCAGGATGGGAGTAATATGCTCGCGCCTACGAGCCTGAGTTAACAGGTGAGCAGCAGAGTTCTGCACAAGCTGCAAACGAGCAAGAGACATCTGGCTAATGCCTGCATACAGCGCATTACAGTAGTCAAGACAAGCTGTGATAAAAGCATGGATTTATTTCTCCAAGTCAGGTCTTGCTAGGATTGGTTTCACTTTTGCTATTTGGCGGAGTTGATAAAAACTTTTCTGAACAACACTGCTGATCTGTTTTTCAAATTTAAAATCAGACTCAAACTTCACCCCCAGATTGGTGACACAGTCCTTGAGATAAAATGACAGTGAGCCAAGATCTATGCTGGGAGAGGGACGGCAACTTGGTCCAAACATCATAACTTCAGTCTTGTTCTCATTTAGACTAAGGAAGTTAAGAGAGAACCATGTCTTAACATCATTAAGGCAGTGTGTAAGTTGTTGAACTGTGTTGTTTTGTGCCATGGGAAAATAGATCTGGCAATCATCAGCATAAAAGTGAAATAAAATGCCATGCTTCCTAAAAATCGAGCCAAGGGGGAGTAAGTAAAGGGCAAATAAAAGAGGGCCAAGGATTGAGCACTGGGGGACACTATGTGGAAGAGGAGCAGTGGAAGACATAAAATTGTCGATTTTTACGCAGAAACTCCTATTGGTTAAATACGACCGAAACCAATTGAGGGCGACACCCCTGATGCCCACACAGTGCTCAAGACGAGAGATTAAAATGCTGTGATCAACAGTGTCAAATGCAGCAGACAAATCTAAGAGCACTAAAACAACAGACTTTCCGGAGTCTGTGGACAAGAATATATCATTTGAAACCCTCAAAAGTGCACTCTCTGTACAGTGGCGGGCTTTAAACCCAGACTGAAACGGCAGTGATACCATTGTCCTCTAAAAATGGTAACAACTGGTTGTAAACAACCTTTTCTAATAGTATTGAAATAAATGGGAGATTAGAGATAGGCCTGAAATTGGAGCAGAGAGAGGGGTCAAGACCTGGTTTTTTTGAGTAGAGGGCGTACAAATGCATGTTTAAAAGCCTCAGGTACTATACCAGAGGAAAGACTGCTATTGATAATCTTAAGTACACTTGGTTCAATAGTGGAAAATACCTCCTTAAATAAACGAGGTGGAATGGAATCTGCAGGAGAACCAGAGGGCCTCATATGATCAACTGTGTCCTGTAGAAAAGAGAAGGACACAGGCTCAAACTGATCAAAAACAGATGAGTGGTGTAGAGGAATAGAAGGATCATAGGAAGGCTGAGAAATACAAGCTCTGGTTGACACAATTTTATCAGTGAAGAAGTGGAGGAAACTTTCACAGATTTCAGTGGAGGCATCAAAACCAACAGACTTGGGAGCATGGAGAACAATATCTATGGTTTTGAACAAAACTCTGGGGTTGTTACAGTTAGAAGAAATTATGCCTGAGAGATAATTGTTCTTCTCGGCTATTACAGTTTTCTGATAATGTAACAGACTCTCTTTGAGAATATTAAAAGAAACATGTAGTCTGTCCTTTTTCCACCTGCGCTCCGCTTTTCTGCACTCGCGCCTGGCAGCGTGCGTGACGTCACCCAGCCAGGTTTCGGGGGTAGGTTTGGTGCGTCGGTTCTTCAAAGGAGCGATCGTGTCCAGTGTTTGTAAACAGACAGAGTGGAAGCTGGAAACCAGTTCATCAATATTTAGACAAAGAGAGTCTTTAGTTATCCTCGCAGAGACCAAGAAAGGTGGAGGAGAACATGGTTGGAGAGGAGGAGTTAAACATGCGACAGCGCTGAGGAGGAGCATGCACTTTAACTGGGCAGTGAGTGGGAATGTCAAATAGGATGGGCATATGATCTGAAAAAACAGCATCACATATGTTCAAGTTGGAAACATCCAGACCATGAGTCAGGACCAAGTCAAGTGTGTGCCCGAGTTCATGAGTAGGACCAGACACAGACTGTACAAAGTTAAAAGAGTCAATAACATTTAAAAAGCTCCTGGAGATCGGCTCTTCTGGACAGCAGACACGAATATTAAAATCTCCAAGAATGAGAAAATAATCATATTTGGGCAGGATGTCAGCCAAAAATTCTGAAAAGTCATTTATAAAATCCTTATTGTGCTTGGGTGACTGATAGATGACGACACACAAGACAACATGAGCGTGGCCGATTTCAAATGTGCAGTGTTCAAAACTTGTAAAAGAAGACTGCAGGCTGATCTGCCGGCATTTAAAATCATTTTTAAAAACAACTGCTATTCCTCCTCCTTTCTGACCCGACAGGCGCGGGGAATTAAAATAGCAGCAATCAGGTGGTGACAGTTCAATAAGAGCGGTGGGCTCGCCGGTTCTCAGCCATGTCTCTGTTACGCAGAGAAAATCCAGATCACGGGACATGAAGAAATCCCTCAAGATTAAAGTTTTCTTTGACAGTGATCTTGCATTAACAAGGCCAAACCTGGCAGGGGCCGGTGCATCCAAAGCTGCAGCTGTCTGTGGAGCCCGACGCAGGGCTCGTAGATGGCGGAGATTTACACCACGCCGGCGAGGACGGAGAGAGTAGGGGCCGCGGGGGCGGACCACGTCATCCGAACTG